GTTTTAAGGTTTGCCATTTATGTTTTAAGGTTTGCCATTTATGTTTTAAAGTTTGCCATTTGTGTTTTAAGGTTTACGATTTATGTTTTACGGTTTGCCATTTGTGTTTTAAGGTTTATGATTTATGCTTTAAGGGTTAGTGCGTATGCTTTTGGGGTTTGTCGTTTATGTTTTAGGGTTTATTTTAAAGGGATAACGACGGCATAAGAAATCGGTAACGCGAGGGAAAGGAAATCTCTCTGCGTCTCGCTCTTGCGCGCGTTCTCTGCCCTGTTGGCTACGTGCCAAAAAGTCGATCAGGGGTGCTCGACCTATGCCGTCGGTATCGCTTTAAGGTTTTCCATTTTTTTGTGGTCTAACGTTTCATGTGCGTAATTTTAGGGAAGATATTTTGCTGAGTGGTGACGACTGCTGCTTGCTGAGGGCATTCTTCGCCCATTTCCCAACCTTTTCGTTGTTTTACCGAGACTTTGCATTGTGTACTTCAATTTGCATTCCCATCAGTTGCCCGTTTTCGTTCCAACAACTGCCACCGCTATCTCCTTTGAATGAGCCGCTTGATCCGATATATCGCAGTCTTCGAGTCACATCGCTAACGATGATTCCAGTGGAAAGCGATTGATGGCTCGTCTTGTCATGGAGAATCGAATATCCCATCTAAATCAGTGCATTTTAGGCATAATTTAGTAAAATACTTTCATTGATAAAAAATTACCATTAGGTATCGCATTCCCGTTCGAGGCCGGATTGAATTGGAAATTAGATCTTTATGACAAAGATCTGCTCCGTCCGATTCCAAAATGATCGTGTCCAGTTCTTCAACGATTTTCACAACACGAGTTGCTACTTCAAGTGTTTTGTCGGACCACGAACGGATCACAATTTTCTCACCGAGAAATAGCCAATTGAATAACCATAACAATATAAACCCATAACTAACAAACCTATTTCGATTGATTTGTTTTCTCCATGACGAAAAGTTGCCGCCAGTCTTGGAGTCAACGGAATCGCACTTCTCTTGTATTTGTCCTTTTTTACATTGTAGTAGAGAGCGTATCGTCCAATCGAAGCCGCCAAATCACCATCTACAGGGAGTTCTTGAGATTCTGGCTCGAGTTTCCGTTTCTTGGGAATTGTAGCGCCTAGGATTGATAAATTATTAATGTTTAAAATAAATCTTAGAATGTTAACAAAATCAATAAAAGACGTTGAATTATTTCGAAAATACCTTGCTCCGTAGGTGTAACACGACGCGAGCGCCGCGATTCTTCCCAGCGCAATTCAAACTCGGCTCCTTGCCATCCCTCTTGTAATTCGAAAACATCGTCATCTGTGCAACTAAAAATCTTAATTAAAAACCAGGGTTGAAAAGCCGCTGCGCGACTTTTCAACCCTGGCCCCGTCTGATCGCATGATATTTTTCACTTTGCATAATTCTTGGATTTCCGATAACAAAAATGAAAATCGCACGCTCTAGCCCATTATTAGGCTACCGGAACTTCCGGCGTATGCTAATTTTTCCTAACAAAGAGGATCGCCGATTTCTCAACAAAAACTTAATTTTAATGTCGAAAATAGGCAATTTTGATAAATCTGATATGCGTGCAGTCATCTCAGAGCCATTACGCGCCTAATGACGTATCGTACCTAGCCTAATACCCTTCCCCTCTTGAGGTATCCTCCGGACAGAATGACGGAAGTTGCATGCAAAGTGGCACAGACACACACACACACACACAAACACTATTTTTTTTATATATACAGGGTGTCCCAAAAAAAAATCGACCCCCCTCTAGCGGGCCGCAGTCATGTCCGATTTTGACGATTTAGATATCTATCGAAAGCACTCGAAAAGGCGAGAAAACAAGCACTTTTCGTTTTTCAATATTGGAATTTTAATTCATTAAATTTAGGGCCAAAATCGATGAAAACTGCAGATTTTATGCAAAATCGGCATGTTAATTGCTTGCTAAAGCAAACAGGACGATGCTGGTTTTACGCTTTTTACAGAAATCATTGAATATCGAGCGAAGGCTAAAATTTTTTGGAAAACCAAAGGCGCTTGTTTTCTCACCGTTTGAAGGGCTTTCGAATGGTGTGAAAATCATTCCGATCCGAGCTTTCTGCGGTCCGCTAGGGGGGGGTCGATTTTTTTTGGGACACCCTGTAGTAGGATTTGCTCAGAATTTTATTCTAAATTGATAACGAAAATCGAAATGCCTTAATAAAACCTTTAAAAACTAACGCTAAAGCCAAGTCGTTTTTGAACAATCCGATCGGGACGTCTGCTTCAAGTTGGAAAGCACTGCGCAATGTCATCTTGTTCATTGTTCCATCCTTTCTGGCGGTAACTTTCACGACTCGATCGTTTGCTTGAACGACAATAAACTGAAAATAATATTATTGACTACTAAGATGAAATATTAAAAAAACATACCGGCGCCATATTCATCTCCTAAGAAACCGAGTGAACTTGTCGGCGATCTTGACCAAGTTGAACGCGTCGGAAATCCTTGGTGAACTTGTGTGGCGGATTCTTTGTCAATTCTTTGAACACGAGCGAGGAAAGGCTTGTGCTCGGTGATGGCTGCTTCCGGCCTTTAGAAATTCGGGCAGCGTAGGTGCGCACCGTCAGTTCTTCGCAAAAAACTCGAGTTGCGACGGGAGCTCGAGGACGGTGGAATGAAGGGAGAGCTCGGGCCTCTTGATATATAAGAAAAAATTGAGCGATGTGGAAACGCTAATGGATTTCAAAAACATCTGCCATTTGCCGCCCATTTTTCAAAATCATAGGGGTTCCCCCTTATCAATTTTTCGGCATCTGTATTAAGGTATAAATGAAGTCAACGTGGTGTTCGAGCTTACGCACTCTAAGAAGCCATAGTTGAGAGCGAAAATTGTAATTTTAACGTCAGTTAATGACTGTTCTTAACTATTATTTTTGTTAGACACACGTGATAATTAATTATCTGTCGTTTTGAGTCCTCCCCCTCCGACCCCTGCAACTCCCGTGACTATTGTGATCCTCGCGCTTGGTCATACAGTTTACCATTACCATAGTATTAGTCAGACATGGCAATTCCGATCGGCCGAGCCGCGCGGCCGGGCCGGCGGCCTAATTTCCATAAAAAACGCGGCCCCCTACGAGCCGCCGTAATTAGTTACTTCCGGAAATGCGGCTTTGCGGCCGAGCCGCATTTTCTTCGCGGCTCGGCCGGGCCGCTGCGGCCAAGCCGCAAACCGGAAGTGGCTCATTTACATAACGAAAAACCGCCAATTTCATGCCAAATGGGAATGGAAATGAGAAAATTAAGGTTGTCGAGTATGGATATTCCTCGCTAGCAGGCTAAATACGCATTGCATCTCTGATTTGCATACCGGAAGTACCCAAAACTCATTTGGATGCGGCCTCAAAAGCCGCGCGGCTTGGCCGCCGTGCGGCCTCAAAACACAAAAAAGCCGCGGCCGCGCCGGAAGTGCGGCCAAGCCGCGCGGCCCGGCCGCATTCTAATTTTTGCGGCCGAAAAAGCCGCGCGGCCCGGCCGATTCTCATGTCTGGTATTAGTTGCCTTTCCTCCTCTCTCCGCCACCCAATTAATTTATTCCGCATCGAGCATTTTATCATCTCCGGGCTGCTCGACCGCCCCTGATTGTGTTAGTTATGCCCTTTCGGGACTCTGGCCCCGATTCGCCCCCCGTTTTGTGTTTTACATCGCACCCAATTCGCGTGTCAATTATAAGAGCTCGGTTTGCAAATAAAGGATTGCTGCCCGGTCTAGACACTTGTTTGTGATGCGCGCGCTCAAAAAAAATGTGGTCGGGTGTTGTTTGCGGGGGGTATTGGTTTCGTTGTCAGGACGGACGGCTCTATCCCTGTCTTGCCGGGGATCTCAGAGCGGGGGCCGAGGTGATAAAATGCAGGATAGCTGCTGCCGGGTTCAACCTAACGGAGAAGAAGCAGGCTGCACACAGAGTCGAAGGTCATCCTTTGCCAAACCGGGGGTGTCCCCCCCTCAAGTAGCCACCGCCCGGCCTTCCGGTAGCTGCTGAAAGCTGAAGGTCAATGCCGGAGATGGATAGCCGGAGCCAGGTATAAAGGCCCGGGTGGGCCACGCCCGGGCTAGCACTTGTTGCCTCCCCGCTAGCCTATCGTTCGTTTATCTCTCGTTAGTACAGTACGATACCCACAGCGGCCCGGCTCCTAATAAAACGTCCGGTAGCTTTGGACAGGAGGGAAGACCGCAACGCGGGCGATAGACGCGTCGCGCAATTGCAAAAGCAGGCCTGCGCAGCTAAAAACCGGTTGCTATTCCGCGCACCCGCACGCAACGCGCGAAAAAACACGTACAGTACGCCCTTTCCCTTGAACCATCCGGACCGAACCCATGGGCGGTTGTGTACCCTGAACATTCCACAGCCTACCGTACCCCATTCTTTAGATGATCTCCGTGGTGTTGGTGGCTCTATTCCTCGGCCAGTCGAGCGCCTTCTTCCTCGGCGGCCTCTTCCCCGGCCTTGGCGGTGGAAACGGTGGATGCGGATGCGGAGGTATGTAGAAACCCACGATAGTTACTTTGCTGTTTAGGCGGACAGGGATACCAGCAGTCCTATCAGCAGTCCTACCAGCCCTCGTACCCCCAGCAGTCGTTCCAGCAGTCGTACCCCCAGCAGTCCTTCCAGCAGTCGTACCCCCAGCAGTCGTTCCAGTCGTACCCGCAGCAGCAGGTCAGCTACGGTGGACAGGGATACGCTAGGCCCGCCGGTAAGTGACAGTTTTTATATACAAATTCAACTTCCAACTAGGCTTAAACCGCTAAAATATCATCAATTTTTCAGCCCCGATGTACCAGGCTCCCCAGCCCATCTACCACGCCCCCGTGCAGTCGAGCTACGCCCAGCCCGCCTACAACCCACCGGCGCAGCACACCTACGCCGCCCCGGCCGCCCCGCCCCCACCTCCCCCGGCCCCCGTTGCCCAGGTACGGTAGAGGGGGCCTTATTTAGAAAGTTACGCAAACTCTAGTTAGCCACCAGCCTGCCCTAACTTTCATATCTCGACTCCAGATTGTTCTACAGGTGTGTAAAGTATGCCAAAATGTTCGTCGCTGTCTGACAAGCATTTTAGTATACTTTACACCCCTGTAGGACAATCAGGAGCCGAGATATAAAGTTAGAAGCTGGGTGGTAAGCTGCACCAAAACCGAATCAACCTTATTTACCAACTTAAAGCTAGCAGCCTATTATACTTGAAAAAATACATGATTCCAGTCGTACGCCGCCCCCGCTGCCCCTGCCGCCGCCGGAGGTTACGCCACCTCTCCCCAGAAATAGACTGGCATCAGGGTCTCGCCCACCATCATGGACACCCCGTCTTCCAGATCTCTCCCCGCGACGCTAGATCATTTCTATGATATGACATTTTCATCTATAAATGGCATCCGATCTAAATTAGCACAGCTGAAAATACGAAGAAGATCCATGGAAAAATTAGATACAATAAAATTACAAATTACAGAAGATACAACAAAAAGTTTAAAGTTTGTGGTAGTAAGGGGGGAGAGCTGTAGAGAAGATAGGCAATTTAATTTGACAATTTAACGGGACGCGAAACAAGTTGTAAATTAAGGGTATCTAGAAAACAAGAAACGTCGGTCTTGGCCTAGACGAATAGCGAAATCTTCCCGAAACGAGCAATAATATCATTATTGATTTTTTTACCTCAGCCCTGAATTTTAGAAAAATAGAATTCTGGTTTTTCCTTATCAATTTCTGCTGTTACACCCTGGGGGTTTGCTGCAAATTTTGCTTGTTTTTTCATCCAAACGAACCGGAAGTTGGCGTTCTCGGCTAGAATGTCTATAAAAATGAAATTTCATTTCCTAGCGATATCTGGTTTATGAGCTTTCAAGCGGTGCCAAAATTAGCGGTCTTCGACCCGTATTTTTCTAGAGAAAAGCCGTGTTTTCGACGAACAGCAAAGCCAAAAACTCTTGAAGGAACCATACGATGAATCCGTCCAAAATTAGAATGACGAAAGAGCCACGATTTCCACCCAGAAAGACATCATCCTTCTCTTTACAAAAAAAAACCATGGTCGCCGCGCGGCTTTTTGACTTGGTGAGTTTGGCGCGTCGAAGCATATCGAATCCATTTGACAGACAGCCGAGACGTTCCTCGGCTCGTACTTCCGCTACCTGGCTGACCAGCCGTTGCTCCGCTTCATCTCGGGCAACGTCGCCGCCCTGTACAAAAGGTGAATTTTATATCGCTCCAGAGAGAAAGATAGCGTGCCGCGAAGATTAATCGAGGGCTTTCGAATCGGAGAACCGGGTTAGAGTGCAGTTTACCCCCCAGCCGGCGCGAACTTTTGTATCTCGGCTCCCTGTTCATCTACATGTGTCTAAAGTATACCAAAATGTTTGTCTTGCTCTCGCGAGTATTTTGGTATACTTTACACGCCTGTAGATGAACAGGGAGCCGAGATATGCTACGTGGGGGCCGACTGGGGGGCAAACTGCACTTACGCCTAAAGAAGAAATTTAGAAGAAATTGCACGATGATTATTATAGTGTTACGATTTTTATAGTTATTCGGGCCTCGAGTTCGATTCGGAACCGGCCGAGCAGTTGGCTGTCGGCATCGGTCTGGCCATCCACATCATCATCCTGCTCCTCATCCCGATGACGCTCATCAACCTTTTCGTGCCGGATCGTCAGTGCAGAGTTTTGGCCTCAAAATTCAATTTTTGAAGTGGTACACGGTCCGTGCAATCACGAGGGATGTCGCGAGAGGGATGTGCTGAATCATGGAGTCGGTTTTGAGGCTTTTGGCTAGCTCTCTCTCTCTCTCTCTCTCTCTCTCTCTCTCTCTCTCTCTCTCTCTCTCTCTCTCTCTCTCTCTCTCTCTCTCTCTCTCTCTCTCTCTCTCTCTCTCTCTCTCTCTCTCTCTCTCTCTCTCTCTCTCTCTCTCTCTCTCTCTCTCTCTCTCTCTCTTTTCTCTCTCTCTCTCTCTCTCTCTCTCTCTCTCTCTCTCTCTCTCTCTCTCTCTCTCTCTCTCTCTCTCTCTCTCTCTCTCTCTCTCTCTCTCTCTCTCTCTCTCTCTCTCTCTCTCTCTCTCTCTCTCTCTACTCTCTCTCTCTCTCTCTCTCTCTCTCTCTCTCTCTCTCTCTCTCTCTCTCTCTCTCTCTCTCTCTCTCTCTCTCTCTCTCTCTCTCTCTCTCTCTCTCTCTCTCTCTCTCTCTCTCTCTCTCTCTCTCTCTCTCTCTCTCTCTCTCTCTCTCTCTCTCTCTCTCTCTCTCTCTCTCTCTCTCTCTCTCTCTCTCTCTCTCTCTCTCTCTCTCTCTCTCTCTCTCTCTCTCTCTCTCTCTCTCTCTCTCTCTCTCTCTCTCTCTCTCTCTCTCTCTCTCTCTCTCTCTCTCTCTCTCTCTCTCTCTCTCTCTCTCTCTCTCTCTCTCTCTCTCTCTCTCTCTCTCTCTCTCTCTCTCTCTCTCTCTCTCTCTCTCTCTCTCTCTCTCTCTCTCTCTCTCTCTCTCTCTCTCTCTCTCTCTCTCTCTTGCTCTCTCATATTGGTTGGAAAAGTAACTCTCTCTCTCTCTCTCTCTCTCTCTCTCTCTCTCTCTCTCATATTGGTTGGAAAAGTTGAAGCAATTCTTTATCCTAAAAAGTAACCAGCAATGTTTCAGGTGTCCGACAGCGGCGAGTTCGACCCGTTGCTTGACAGCGATGACGACGAGGAAGAAGATGACGACCCCGAGCACGAGCACGAGAACGAGCACGAGCATGATTATAGCGATCACGAGGACAAGGTATTGATAGCAAGGATTTTCGTCTTTTTCCCAAATCCCAAACTTATTTTCTTTTCGTCGAAAAACAGCAGCATGGAAATTTTGTTTGGTACTGGGCTGTTAGCGGGGGGGGGCGTTAAGCTTTATTCTCCCGTCTATTTTGGTCATATATTCCATTTTCCTCAACGAAACGCTATGATTTTGTTTCCTATTTTCCAGCCGTCCACCTCCATGCGGCACCGCAAGCCGAACGTGCCGGCCGAGACGGATTGCTGAGGATCTCCTGCGCTCCGCTCAACTCCTATCTACCCTGTTCCCGATTTTACCCGCGTACACGCGATATGTGTGCTCTTCTCTATTTTCCTCGCTTGTTGAATAAAACTATTTTACTGATCGCTGTGTCAATTTGGCTGTAGATCGGCTGACAAGCTCAACATTTTGGTGGCGATCGAGATGAACGAGTACCCAAGTTGGTACTGAACTGTTAGCGGGGGGCGAGGTTCTTGGGCCGACAAACTACTTTTTTGCCTATAATGTATTTTATGCGTTTTTACTAGTTTTTGATTGCTAGAAAAGTACAAAAAAAATAACAATTTGAAAATTGGATTTTTCACATTTTTGGCAATTTTTCATACATTTTCGCTAATAAGTCGGGAATTTTCTAAATATTTATAAGCTGTTCATATCTAAAACGTTTATCAAATGCTATAAAAATGGCTTATGTTTTGCTATCGGGCGGTGCAGGATTACTGGGAAAAAAAATTAGTTTTTTCTTTGGTAACCCCCGCTAACAGGCCAGTTCCGAATTTCGGTGGCGCTCGACATAAACGAGTGCGCCACTTTACTAAAACACCGCCAGCCGACTACGCGACAAAACAGTGTACATGTGTCAGGATATCGGATCCGGGTTCCCCCCGGTAGTGCTCGACTGCCTGCTATATGTGTCGTTTTTCGGGGGCCAGAAAAGCCGGGCGGGCCAAGATGGGCGGTGCCCAGCCGGCCATGGCCCACACTGAGGCTCCCCCTCCCTGAGAAAGGCTCATCCTCCTCTCGTTTTCCCCCGGCCACTCCTGCTGGTCCCCTTTTTTCTGCCGGTTGGTGAGCCTCTTGGATCATCGTTGGCCGTCCGTCTTTGCCCGCGATCATCTACAAGAGGGCCCAGCAGCAGCATGCCGGGCGGCTATCGGATAGGGGTCCATTTCCTCGCGACGGCACTACGGTAGGCGGGCTGCGATATTGCGCGCGAGATGTCGCTTTCGATTATGAAGTAATGGATTGGGGTTTGAAAGCACTAAGGTACCGGTTCAAGAAGGACTACGTGGGCACCTATTTACGTTTGAATATAGCTCTCGAGCTTACTCTCGATCCCTCTCACTCTCTCGTGCTCTTGATCCTTCTCGTCCGCCCTTGCTTTCTAGCCCTCTCGCTCTGTCTGGCGCTATCTCTCTCTCGCGCTCTCTCTCTCTCTCTCCTTCTCTCTCTCTCTCTCTTTCTCTCGCTCTCTCTCTCTCTCTCATTTATCTATTTCTCTCTTGCTCTCTCTCGCTCTCCCTCTTCTCTCTTTCTCACACACTCTGTCTATCTCTCTCGCTTTCGCTCTCTCTCTCACGCTCTCTCTTCGCACTATCTCTCGCCGTAATTAGGAGTCCACGTAGTCCGTGCCTGAACTTGAGTCTAAAAAAGCTAATTACGCCATAAAAACTTTTCCGTAATTATAGTTTAGCCTATGTTTTTTTAAATGTCGGTCATCATGAGCGTATTGTATTTTAGCTTCCACTGATTTACAACCGCTAAGAATTCTCGCGCGCAACCAAGCGCTAAAAACCAGCAAAATAGACGTGAATTGACGACAAACTTCAGATTCCTTGAACCGCGCGTCGACGATGACTTTGTCGACCGATTGCATTACCTCTATACGTCAACCATTGTGCTCATGTTTGCACTCCTCGTCTCGGCAAAGCAATACGGTAAGTCTAAGCGCTTTTTAGGGGTTTTGAGCCGTCTTGAGCTTTTTCAACCTCGCGTTTTTAAAGCGGAAGAGTTCGTGGTTTGTAAGCTTTATTTTTGCATTTAGCTCGAATCTTATAACAAAATTTTTACCTTTTAATGGTATTTAAATAGCAATTAAGGTTGCAGAGACAAATTAGCGTTTCTAAAAGCTAAATTTTTGCTTTTCTTCGAATTTTCAAGGACTTTTTAAATATTCAAAATTTTTGGGTGACTGGCCAAACAAATTTTTTAGGAACGTTTCTATTTAAATTTGGGTAAATAGGGGTAGTTTTTAAACAAAAAAAAACATATTTTTGCTCTTTTTCACGACATGCGGCTGGCTAATAGCCCGGGGCGCGTTCCCCGGGGGGTTCGGCCTCTACAACGCCACCCCGAAAAAATCATAAGCTCCCCGCAGCGGCACACTTCATTTGTGTTTGGATTGTCTGTCTGTCTGTGTGTCTTTCTGTCCACTTTCCACGCTACGCGCTACACCAAAATTCGATTTGTGCGTGTGGGTGTGAGCATGAACCGACCCCCGGCGGTCTCTGCCCCATCAGTCCGGAGCCCGGGAATTTATGGGTTTGGAGTTCCGCGCCTTGCCTTTTGCCGTATGCTGCTGCTCCCGAGGCGCGGGGGGGGGGGGAGGCGCAAAAAGTCTCCGGGGTGTAGGAAAGAAGAAGAAGAAGCCAAAAAAACAAGCACTTCGGCTCGTGGAGACGAATTGCTGGGGAATCCGGACGCTCCGGTTGCGCCGGAAAAATCCCAGAATACCGGCAGCCCAAACACCGACAACGGAAATGCCGACATTCCAAAATAAGAATGTACCAGAAATCGGGTGATTGAAATACAGACATCCAAAATGCCGACATACCAGATCAGGGCCGAACAAGTTACGATTTCCAGCCATAATCCCTACAACGCAAAACCCTGAAAAACCCAACCCACATTTCGAGTCAAAATACCGACAGGCAAATTCCCATCATGCCAAAATGCCGACAGCTAAAATACCGACATTCCAAAAGCCCAGTGCGCCAGAAATCCGGCAAGAAAAATGATGAAAATACTGTAATGGATGTCGGCATTTTGGCAGTCCGGATTTTGCCTGTCGGTATTTGTTCTGTCGGGATTTGGACAAAAACTAAGGCCGGCCTTTTTTCGCTGGATCGCGTAACGAAACACATTTTTTTCAGTGGGCCACCCGATCGAATGTTTCGTGCCGGCGCAGTTTACGCGCGCCATGGAGCAGTACACGGAGAATTATTGCTGGGTGCAGAACACATACTGGGTCCCGTTTCAGGTCGGTTTTTTGGTATTTTTTGGGCCGTAAATATCGATTTAAAAATCAGCTTTGCGCAGAATTGTTAAAAACGATCGGGGTGTCGAGGTTTCGCTTGTCCATTTTCGCAACGGGGGATTTTGATTGTCGGGATTCGGGATTTCGGTATTGTTGTGTATCAGGTTTCGAATTTCGGGGTTTTAGATGTCGGGGTTTTGCCCTAGCTGGTGTTTTAATCACGCTATCTTGGGGTATCGGAAGTTTGGCTGTCGGGATTTTGAACTATCAATATTTTGAAATTCCAGATTCTGATTGTCGGTATTTTGGCCTGTTAGGTTTCCTAGTTTCGGCATTTTAGCGCCAGTCAATGTGGCTGTCGGTATTGTGTTTGTCGATAGTTTCGTAGAAAGGATTTTTAATGTCGGTATTTTAGCCTAGCAAAATTTTAAATGTTGGGATCTCGGCTGTCGGCATTTTGATGTCGGCGTTTTGGGTAATTCCTCGACATTCATTTACACGAGGAGTGTGACATACAACGGCTGCCAGGACGTGCCCATTTTTCCCGCTAATTCCAAGATCGTAATTGGGCCCCGGCGGAGAGGCGAGAACCTCGTGTCGTCCAGGAAGGGGTGGATCTCGTATTTTGATGGGTTGTTTGTCTGTCTGTCATCCCCCGCGGTCTGTCTGTCTGTCCGTTAAGCCCCGGAATGCACATACACGTTTTTGGACCCCGGCCGAGCAGAGATATGGGAAGAGAGCGAGAGAGAGAGAGAGAGAGAGCTCTTTTGCGATGGCGATCAAAACCGACTACAACCATTTTTCGGCACTCCATCTCCCGGTGGCCGGCCAGCAGCTCGTGCTCCTTGCCTCCCCAGGTGTCCAGGTGGTGTGTAACACACCCAGGGGGCTCATGGCCGGCCAATGGGCCCCTGCTGACAAGTGCCCAGCCCCGGAAAAGACTACGCCCAACAACCATGTACATTGCGTAGTTTTTACGCACCGGGGTGTCAGCTGAACGGGGGTTAGAAAGCTCGTTTAAGGGACTGGTAAGGCTCGGCTATGGATTTCCAGGCCAGGCGACGCGCACGTAGTAGGCGCCAGTATATTTTACGTCAAAAAATTTTCTCGAATTTTCGCATTTCATGTCGCAACGAATTTATTGGACATTTAGACGGATTTTCACAAAATGTCGAAATTCCAGAATATTATCAAAATTTCATAATGCCGAAATTCATGACGTCGAAATTTTATAATCCCGAAATTCACAACGTCTAATTTTTATAGTCGGAAATTCATAAAATCAAAATTTATATGAAAAGTCTTCCGAAAACTCTCCGAAATTGCAAAAAAAATGTCGACATATTGAAATTTCGGCATTAGGGAACTCGACATTAAGGAATTTCGGCATTACGAATTTCAATTTTGCAATTGCGGCATTATGAAGTTTCGGCATTACCAAATTTCGGCATTATGAAATTTCAACGTTATGCAGCATAAAATTTCGAAATTACCAAATTTCGGAATTATGATCTTCGAAATTACGAAATTTCGACCCTATGAATTATAGAATTTCGACCTTCCCAAATCTCGGCACTTTCGGTATTATGCTAGCAAATCCTTTTAGGCAGAGCACCGATATTTTTTCGACATCTGGGCATGCGCATTTTCACTTCCTAGTCCCTTTAAGCCCTTAAAACTTGGGCTCGGCGCTATCAGCCCGTGATTGGCCCGATTATTATCGGGTGGCCCCCTTACCCGGGGGCCCAACTAGGCCAATAACTACAAGGTGGGCCAGCTGAGTCCGGGCAAAAATCGGGTGCTGCTCCTCTTTCCCCCCGAGCTCCTCAATGGCACTTTGTTTACACGCGCGCCCAGGGGGAGGACGACATCGAGGTGGCGTTGCCCATTTAGGGCCCGGCCGCATAAACTGGCTTCTTCTTCTTTGGCGACGGCATCGAGCATTAAGGAGGGACCATATTACCCAATTAACATCTGGCTAGTGAAG